ACGACAATTCGGTCCCTTATTAGACTCTCTTCCAGGCATGCACAGAAATTGCATGAACGACCAATTCAAACAACATTACAACACATACAAGGCTTATGTGCGTCCGCACTTCGAATACTGCGTCCAGGCTTGGAGCCCGTTTCTGATCCAGGACATGAAAACGCTAGAATCAGTGCAGCGTCACTTCACCAAATGGTTTGCAGGCGTATGACATCTACCTAACAAGAGGCGTCTCAAAGCCTTAAACCTTTTCTCCTTGAGCAGGCGTAGGCGACGCGGGGACTTGATCGAAGCGTAAAAGATCTTGAGGGGGTTTATGGACGTACAGGATGGAGCGCTGCTTAAGCTCAGTGCAACAATGAACCTGAGAGGGCACACTTTAAAACTGGTTGAAGATAGAGTGAGGACTCGGCTTAGAGCGCCCTCGTTCGTAACGAGAGTTGTGAATGATTGAAATAGATTGCCAGATAAAGTCATTGCCGTCAACTGGACAGCAGACTTCAAACGCAGATTGGCATGGTATGGATCAGGTTGATCGAGCAGGGTGGGGACTGAGCGGAACAGTTTGGATATAGCTGACTTGGGACCGCTATCTATTTATTGCTAAACCTCCACCATCCATGCCTTTTTCTCCTCTTTATTCACTCTCTTCCCAACCTCTCTAGAAGCTCTGTGCTTAGCCTTTACTTATCCTCTACCTCTTTAAATCAACCTCTTAGTCCCAATGGGTGGTCTGGTCGTCCCATGAGTCTGCAAGCTGCAACATCCTCCTTGGAACCCCCCTCTGACTGAAGCCCTGCGAAGGGGGATCTCTCCTGGTCGTTGAGTACTATTCGTATAATTGAACGAGGATTTCCCCTTCCTGTTGTCGTAGCACCAGGGGATCCACGGAGCCCATCAGTGTAAGCTGCTGGACATATTGGCACGCCGCCGCAGCATCATGTGAACTGACCTGACCTGACTTGACCTGGACGCGTGATTGGCAAGAGCCACAATTCGTCCGGTGAGAACTGAACCGGGTGCAACCCCTCAAAAGCAATAGGAGGTAAAATGGCGCAGGCTCTCAGTGTTTACTACACTAACGCCTCCAGCCTAATGAACAAGTTGGCCGAGCTCCGAGCTGACCAAACGCATTGCCTCGCCATAACACAGACTTGACTCAGGTCTGAATTTTTTATCGCGGGATTCTGTCCACCAGGATTCCAGGCTTATCGCTACGATCGTCCAGGGAATAGGTTGAGGGTGGTGCTCTACTGCTTGTGGCGGACCACTTTCCTTAGACGGCCGTGGATACATTATGCACAGAGAACATTCAGGCTGCCGGGTGTGTAATCAAGCTCACAGGAGTAAGCTTAGCAGTCCTGTGTGTTTATCGTAACCCAAGCACAGGCACCGACGAAAATGAGTTGTTGATGGATTTTCTCCGGCATACAACAACTCGGGCAACCACTCGGGTTTTTGTCCTGGGGGATTGCAATGCTTCCGAGATCGAACGGGAGATGGAGTATGCTCCAGTGGGCAGCTTCGGGGATGAACAACTAGATGTGATGCACGGATTGGCGCGCATCCAGCACGTCACCAATCCCACCCGATGGCGACCGGGTAACTCTCCTAGCACCTTAAATCTTGTGTTTCCCAAAAGAAGGAATGACACCGGGAACACTGCTATAGGTGCAGCGCTAGGTAGAAGTGACCGCGCCAGTATCCGGTGCCAATACGGCTGTGCTCTTCCCCCTCTCAAGTCAAATTGCGCCAACGCTATGGGCGCATGAATATTGAATGTCTCCAGGCTGCGGCACAGACCGTGGTCTGGTCACAGGCAAACTATGAGGTTGTAGAGTCGTGGGACTTGATCAGGAATAACATGTTGACTCTCACTAATATTTTCGCACCCTGTGTCCCGTTAGGTCAAGGACCACCCCATTCTGGTGGTCCAGTCGAATGAAAAAGCCTTAATTAGAAAAAGGGTCGCGTGGCAGAGACTGTGCCACAGGTGGTTATCTAAAACACCTACAGTACTTACGTGAGCGAAAGTCTTTCAACCGCATCCTCCTGGATGCCAAAAGAGCTCTCGAGCTTTCTCTGGCTAAGAAAGCTAAGCGTTCCCCTAAGGCCTACTACAGGTATGTCCAGTCTAAGTCGACTACAAGGGAAGCAGTTGGCTGTATCCGGCAAAAGGACGACACCCCCGCCACAACAAACTCCCAGAAGGCCATCGCTCTGTGTGAGCACTTCCAGAGTGTACGCACGAAGGGTGAAGGCATGCTGCGACCCATTCACCAGCCAGCAGGATACATTCTGATGGAGGAATTCACTTTCCTACCGGAGGAGGTGGAAAAGACCCTGATCAGTTTAGATAGGCGTAAAGCGGCCGGGACCGCATGATATCCACCCGGCACTGCTTAGGCCTCTAGGGAGTATCTTGGCAGCTCCGTTAACTTACTTTTTCAATCTGTCCATGGCAACAGCCACATTGCCACATGACCGGAAAGTAACTACTGTGGCCCTCATCCACAAAGGGAGTGAGAGGGAGCTGATCATGAACCATAGGCCGGTAGCTTACTCTCCGTGATCCTAAAGGTTAATCAGGGATAGAATGGTCGGCTACCTCACCCAATGCGGCCTGCTGGCGGAGGCTCAGCACGGGTTTCGTAAAGGAGGATCTTGCCTTACAGATCTGCTAGCCTTCCTGGATGTCGTGAATGAGCGGCTGGACAGGGGGAGGGAGTCGAAGTCTGCTATCTAGACTTCAGTTAGGCTTTTGACTTCATAAACCATAGGCTGCTGTTAGGATCGATAGGAATCCACCCCAGTTTAGTCAAGCGGACTGAGAGTTATCTGACGGGGAGAATCTTTCGCATAAGGGTGAGGGGGGATTGGCCGGGCAGTGGGTATGCTTACAGTGAGGTCCCACAGGGCTCGGTCCTTGGACCATTGTTGTTTCTTGTCTTCATCAATGCTCTAGTCCCCTGTCTATCAAACCCGACGTTTATCTTTGCAGACGACAATAAACTAATTGGCTCGCACCAGGGGGTAGACCTCCAGCTTGACCTAGATGCAGTGCAAGCATGGTATGCAGAGTGGGGTTTCCCTTTAAATGCAGCGAAGTGTAAGGTCCTACAAGCCGGGATTGCACAGGGGGGCTGGCCACGATATAAGGGAGCTCGAGACGGGGAGGCTATGGCAGTAGTGCCAGAGATCAGGGACCTAAGAGTCACTCAGAACTCCGCTTTTAGCTCCTCTGCCCAGTGTCTTACTGTGGCAT